TGTTGTCTAGGACTCTGCCTGCTATATTAATTAATCTTTATGAATCGTTCAGATAAAAAACAATGATTGAAGATTACCTGAGAGAAAGTTGAATAGCATGAAAGAATTCCAGTCATAATCCTCAACAGGAATTAGACAAAAATAAAACTATAACAAAGATATATTTGTGTGTTTATGTAATGGAAAACATAATATGTACATGGTATATCATAGTTATATAATTAGATATTCATTATACAGTTACATTATTTATATGTGGTATATACATTTTTTTCCTTAAAAACAACCTCAGCTAACAAAAATTGATGCTTTAAACAAAAGAGGATAAATCCAGTGAAGACTTTAGAATCTGACTTTCAGAATACATTCTGAATTGGTAATGACTGAAATAAAGGCTTTCTTTTTCTAAACAATCTAAGACTTAAAACAGCAATTGCATCACGAAAACTAAATCAGGAAGGAAAGCTGCATGTTTTGTATATTTCCATCATATAGCTGAATATTTTCAAATGGACATAAAAACAGACTGGCAGCTGACATCTAAGATAATATCTTTCTGATAATTAATTCATCCTCAGTAGAAAACTCACCTGAAGTTCGTATATTGTCTAAGACCTGAGAGCCTACTGATGTTTAATTTTATATTTTACAACCAAAGTGTCACTAGGACAATCAGTATCAATATTAACCACAGGACGTGTCAGTTTCCCCAAATCTAATTAATGATGCAGTTCTGAAAAATAATTTAACAGTTAGTTACTTTCTGGTCACTTAAATTTCCAAGAAATAACACAACATAAGTATTTTGCTGTTAATACAGTGACTGTTTCTAGGATGGTGTAACTGTCTTATTCAAAAAGCTTCCAACACGGCTCAGTCTCTGTCTTGCTGTGGTCATTATTACCAGTGCACTTCCTTCTCTTTTTCTCAATCCGGCCTATCAAATTTGCGATCAAATTGTATTCATAATTCATCTGCAAATAAAACTATCAAAATTCTTAGCTAAGTGATTATATACAAGATTCCCAGAAAATTCCAATCTTTGATAATTTTAACATTGATATTTCCTATGCTTAATAGTAAGAAATAATTGATAAATCATAGACTGAAATTTCTCTAGTATTTCTGAACTAATAAATCCAGTAACATCAGTGAAATAATAGAAACTAAGGAAGTTAAGTTGATATTTCTAAATTATTACATAACCTGCCTCAGTAACACATCAAAGTTGAAGCTTAAGAAGAACAAAAACTATCATGGCTATTTTTTATAGAAATTATGCTGGGTGTGTGGCACCTGTCTATAATCCCAGAACTCTAGAGACTGGAGCAGTAGGATCACCAAGAGTTCAAGGCGAGCCTGTGCTACAAAGTGATTTCAAGGCCTGGAATGCATAGTGAATCCCTGTTTCAAAAAGACAGAAAAGAAAAGAAATTAAGCATTCTCCATAGCACCTGCTTAAAAATATACTACCCTGCTTAAAAATATACTACATAGATAAAGTAATCAAACAGCATGATATTAGAATAAACAGAGAAACAGACCAAAAAAGTAGAAACCCTAGATACAAGCCTATGCATCTACAACATCTGACTTTTGATAAAAGTGCTAAGAACACACATTAGAGAAAAGATAGTCTTTCAATAAATGGCATGCTGAGAAAATTGGATATGCACATGGAGAAAAATATTGAACCTAGAAAACTATCTCACAAGTTATAAATATCCACTCAAAAGTGATTGAAGACTTACGAATCACACATGAAGCTATAAATCTGCTAGAAAGAAAACACAAAGGAAATGCTTCAGAAAATTATAATGAGCATTAGTTTTGTAGAGAAAACTAAAAAAGCTAAAATAAACAAATGTTAGACAGCTTCTGAACAGTGAGAAAAATTATCAAGAATAAAGGGATAACTTTTGAAATGTGATAAAATATTTGTGAGCCCTGTATCTGACAAAACATTTATACCTACACAATATAAACAACCAAAATCAAAACAAAAATGAAATAATATTAAAAAAGAAAAATCAAAACAAAGAAAAACCTAATTAAAAAGTGTGTCATAGTCCTAAATAAATGTTTCTCGAAGAAGACATCAAATAGCTAACAGATAAATGAAAGCATCACAAATCATCAAAATATTGGAAATCAAAAACACCATGGGATTCATGCCACCAGAAAAAGTGGCTAAAATAAAAGAGAATGAAGATAGTAGGTATTGATAAAATGAGAACTCATATACACCATTAAATTATAAATTAATAAACTGTTACAGGAAAAAGTACAGAGGTTCCTCCAAACTTGAAAAATTGAGGTACCATGTATGGCTGAGGAATCCGACTACTGAACAGATGTCCAAAGGAAATAAAATCAGCAGGTCAAAGAAACATCTATATTCTTATGTTCATTACAGTGCTATTCACAGTAGCCAAGAAATGGAAACAAAGTGTCCATCAACTGATGAAATAAGAAATTGAGTTACATATACACCAAAAATATTATTCATCTGTAAAAACAAGAGAAATATTGTTATTTATAGCAACAGGAATGGAGTTAGAGATCCTTGCATTAAATGAAATGAACCAAGCACTATATGAAAAATACCACACAATCTCACTCCTGTGTCTAACCTAAAAATGTGGAGCTCATAGAAATCAGAATTAGAATGGTGTTTACTGGGGGCTGGGTAAGGTGGCATGGGGGCACCAGATGGAAAGATGGCAGAAGTTAATCAGTGAGTAGTAAGTGACTAATAGGAACAAGATATTCTGAAGCATGAGTACAAAAGACATTGACTATTGATAACAATAAGTAATGTGCATTTCAAAAAACTAGAAGAATTTTTAAAAATTCTTCTCCATAAAAATGATAAATGTTTGAGGACTTACATGCACATGTTAAACTCAGCTTGAAGATTATATTGTGCTAGCACTATGGAGGCATCTCATGATATTCCATTAATATTAACATGGCTTATTGTTTGTGTGCCAGTTTAAATTTAAAGTTTGAAATAATACATTTGAAAATAAAAATTTAAATGTAGTAATAATGAACCAAATCACAAAAGTATCAATATCTGGTAACAATTCCTGGCAAGTTTCACCCTGCGACTCCTCACCTGGAAACCAGTCTAGAAGCAGGTTCTGATGTTGAACTAAGTAGTCCACCTGGACTCTGTTTACTACTTCATTTGTTTCAGGTAAGAATCCTGAGTACCTTTGAAAGAACAATATCCATTGATATAAGACTGAAGCAAGGAAGCACGGATCAAAATGTTTAACCACTAATTTTAATGAACTATTTTAGTATAAATGATGGAAACATATTCTCTATTTTTCTCATTTATCAATTTCTCTCCATCTCTATCTGTCTTTCTCTCTCTGTGTCTCTCTTTGACTCTCTTTCTGTCTCTCTACCCCTCCTCTTGTATTTTTAATAGAATGGCTAATATTTTTCTAGTTTCTTTCATTCTCTAATAAAAAATAAAGCTCAAGTTTCCCTTGTCCAAATAATAGGTAACAAATGACATCTAAAATAAAATGAATAGACATGATGAAAATATTTTGTAGGATATTTGTTGCATTCTAGCCTAATTTTTCTTAGTAGTAATTTGTTTCCAGGGAAATCATTTCCAATTTATTGATCAGGGCACTGAGGCTCAGTGAAATCTTACAGGTTTTCCTGTAAGGAAGTATCACAAGCAGTAAGTCATACAGACAGTTGTACTCTACTGAAATAGAATTTTCCATTACTTGCCATTTAAGTTGTAGTATTTACACACACTCAATTTTTGCAAGTGTTGAGAGGGTGGAGAACAACAAAAAGATAGACAAACAACGTGAGAATGTTAGTCTTTCATCCGTGGTTGATTAACACGGTTATGTGCTGACAGCTTCAATTAGAAAATAATGTAGTAATTGTGCATAACAATATGGCCTTTGTGATCAGAAAAATAAGGAATTAAATGAATATGAGTGGCTTGATACTGGCTACATAATCTTATTCTAATTATATAACTAAATTTACACATTTTTGAAATGGGGATGACATTTGCTATACTGTAAGGCAGTTATGATTAAATAAAGTATTAGAAGTGAAAGTTCTCATATATTAATGCTCAATTATTATAATTTTGTTTCAGACTAATGCATAAAACTTTATATATTTTGACTTACCATAGTGCCAAAATGTTAATTTGAGGAGATATTTTATGAATTTTGTTCATAGCTTTTCATTACATATAAAGTCAACCTAAGAATAAAAAATGAATTCATGACTGGTAAATAAGAGAAAGGAAAACTCCAGTCATTTCTACAAATCAGAGACAAAAAAAATCATGGTAATTCACTTCAGAGAAATAATGAATTTAACTTGTTAAAATTACTTATATTCTCCACAGGAGGTACAAATAAAATTAGTCTATTATATAATTTATATGATTAGTATAATTAGTTACTATCTGAATTATATATCAGAATCGTTACAAAGAGAACTAGATCAATTTTCAATTCTTTTCAAATATAATTTGTGTATATGAACCTGAATTTCTACACACGACTTTTTTTTACCTACTTCCAACTTTTGTATTCCTGTTTAGCAGCATATATTAAGAATACATATTTAATACATTGGTATAAAGTGTATATTTTCCCTGTCTCACATATTTACAGCATACACTTAGAAAGATACATGTGTGCGTACAAACACATAAATTTATTTATATAGTTTTATACATGTGAACATGTCTGCGTATCTATGTATATGTGGAATAATATGGAATTTCAAGATACAAGTCCTCACTATATGATGTAAAATGACTCAATTGAAACAACTTTGCTTACCTAGTGACTAGGATGATGGTAATATTTAAATTGGGGAGCAAGTGAAATATTACCTGAGAAAATCAATGTACAAATGTACAGAATATTTACTTATGTCACTTTTCATTTTACTGTTTATATGTAATCTGTTATTACAACACTCAATTTAGAAATCTGGTATTGCTCACTTCGGCAACACATATACTAAAATTGGAATGATACAGAGGAGATTAGCATGGCCCCCACGCTTGAATGACACACAAATTTGTGAAAGGTTGCATATTTTTGAATAATCCAATTTCAATTAATGAAATGGAAAATGTAATTAAAACCTTGCCAAATAAGAAAAGCCCAGGTCCTGATGGATTCACTGTGGAATTCTATAAGAAATTCAAGGAAGACGATGTTAACATTCTTTAAACTGTTCAATGAAACTGAAAGGAAAGCAATCCTCTCTAACTCATTCCATGGAAGCAAGTATTACTCTAATACCAAAACCAGAGAAAGACTCAACCAAAAAAGAAATCTATAGGTCAATTTCCATAATGAACATAGATGCAAAAATGATATCACTGAGTTTTATTGGATCATTGAACAGAACTGTTTGCAGTCTCACTGTTGGAATGTCCACTTTACAAGCTTTAATTTTATGACTTGAACAATTATTTCTAAGATGACAATATGTAATCCATTAACTAGTGATTTCCTACTGTTTATTTTTTTCTGTAAATCTGTATAACTTGTACCCTTTTTCTGCTTTCTTTTCTCTCCTTAAATAAAATTTAAAAAAATTCTCAATAAAATACTGGCAAACAGAATACAACCAATCATCAAGAAGATTATACACCAAAATCAAGCAGGGTCCATCCCAGGAATGCAGGGATAGTTCAGTATACACACACCAATAAGTGTAATCCGCCATATCAATACAGCCAAAAATAAGAATTGTATGATCATTTCTATTGATGCAGAAAAAGCATGAAAGCATTTTGGTAAGGTCCAACATTCATTGATGTTAAGAGCCCTACAGATAATCAGAATAGATGATCTTTACCTCAATATGATAAAAGCCATCTATGACAAGCCAACAGTCAGCTTCATGTTAAATACCCCAAAACTGAAAGCTTTTACTCTAAAATCAGGAAAAAGACAAGGATGTCCATTATCACCACTCCTATCAAATGTTATGTTGGAAATACTAGTCAGAGCAATTAGACAAGAGAGAAAAATAAAAGGAATAAGGATAGGAAAATAAGAAGTTAGATTATGGTTATTTGTAGACAGTGTGATACTCTACATAATAGACACCCAAAACGTCATTGAAAGACTCTTAGGAATAACAGCTAAATTCAGTACTGTAGCTGGATACAAAATCAACACTGAAAAATCAATAGCATTCCTATACACTAATAACAAAATCACTGAGAGAGAAATAAGAGAAGCCACACCCTTCATATAGCATCCAAAAATTACTTAGGAATCAATCTAACAAAGGAAGTCATATATCTATTCTGTGAAAATTCTATTCTGAAAAACAATTCAAAGAGGACCTCAGAAAATGGAAAGACATTCCTTGTGCATGGATAGAAAGAACAGATATTGTAAAAATGGCCCCTCTACCAAACTTGTTATGTAGATTCAATGCACTTCCAATCAAAATACCACTAGCATACATCACAGATCTAGAGAAGTCATTCCTAAATTTCATCTGGGACCAGAAAAGATCTAGACTAGCAAAGGCATTTCTGGGCAAGAAAAGCAAGGCAGAAGGCATCAAAATCCCTGAGTTGAAGTCATAGGACAAAGCTACTGTAGTAAAATCAGCATGACACTGGAGTAAAAACAGACCTAAAGATCAATTAAATAGATTAGAAGGTACAACTACAACAACAAACACTCAGCCACCTTATCTTTGACAAAGGAACCAAACATATTCACTGGAAGAAAGCTGGCCTCTTTAATAAATGGTGCTGGAAAAACTGGCTCTCAATATGCCAAGAACTAAAACTAGACTCATACCTATCACCAGGTACTAAACTGAAGTCAAAATAGATCAAAAATCTCAATATTAAAACAGAAACACTACATCTCTTGGAAAATATAATAGGTATAAATCTTGAAGACATAGGTGTGGGCAAAGAATTCATGAACAAAAATCAAACCATATGGGAAATACTTCCCAGAATCAATACCTGGGATCTCATCTTATTTAAAAGTTTTTGAATGTCAAAGGAAATCTCCAATAGAGTAAAAACCAAAACCATGAATTTTGAAAAAGCTTAATCAAATGTCCATCTGACAAAGGGATTTTGTCTAGAACATATAAATAATTAAGAAAATCAAATCCCTGAAATTCAAAGATGTAATCCAAAAATGGGCATCTGAGATAAATACACATCTCAGATGAGAAATACAAATGGCAAATAAATATGTGACAAAATGTTCAGCATCATTAGTCATTAGAGAAATGCAAATTAAAACTACACTGAGATTCCATGTTACTCCAGAAAGAGTGGCCAGGATCAAGAAAATTACCAACAACAAGTGCTGGAGATGCTTTGAAGAAAAAGGAATTCTTCTTCACTGTTGATGGAAGAGTAGTCTTGTGCAATCACTGTGGAGGTCAGTCTGGCGATTCCTCAGAAAGCTGGGATTGGAAGTGCTATTTGACCCAGATTTTCCACTTTTGGGTATATTCCCAGGAGAGTTGAAAACATCATATCACAATAGTATGTTAACACCCATGTTTATAGCAGCACAATTTATAATAGCCAGATCTTGGAATCAACCTAAATGCCCATCAACCGAGGAATGGATAAAAAGATGTGGTATTTTTATACTATGGAGTACTACTCATCTATAAAGAATGATCACAATAAAATTTTATAGGTAAATATATGCAACTTGAGACAATACTCATAAGTGAAATAAACTCACATGTGTAAATTCTGTATCAAATGATCACAATAAAATTTTATAGGTAAATATATGCAACTTGAGACAATACTCATAAGTGAAATAAACTCACATGTGTAAATTCTGTATCATCTCCCTAGTGTAAGAAATAGTAAGAGTATATGACAAAAAATCATCAATAAATACTCTGAAAGGAAAGCATATAGGTACATGTAGAGGCTTACACATGCCTTGAACTTCTGCTAAATGGCTTATGAGAATCAATTGTATTATACATGATGGTATGAATAGCTATTTGAATGAAAAGCAACATTATTGTATTCAACATGATGGTATGAATAGCTACTTTGAAGAAAAAGCAACATGGATGATTTCCTATTGTTTTGCTGTGAAATGATTTTATTCTTTGTTTAGAGTGGTTTTGGTCTGCTTTTTATTATTTAATTTCAACATGCATGAAGGTATGGACATCTATTTTGAAGAGAACAAGAGACAGTATGTTAGCCATTGTTGATTTTCCTACAGTCTGCCTATAATGCAGTTCATTACCCTGTTCTGATCAGTTTTATATTATTTTGTTTTGTATGAATTCATTGTGTGTGAAGAAACAGACAACTATTTAGAAGAAAAGAGACATCAAGGTAGACAATGTTGATCTCATGTTATCTTGCTTTGAAATCTGTGCAACTTACATGGTTTTCTTCTGATCTTCTTTGGTCTGTTTTGTTGCTTTGTTTTATCCTCTTTAAAATAAAAAATAAAAAACAAATCCAGATATCTCTCTGCTTCTCTCTCACATGCAAGAAATGCCAACTACACACAGTTAATTTCAAGCCAAATATCAAAAGTAAAAGACAGAGTAGTTAGTATATTATGAAATATTAATCAATGGGTTCAAAGTTACTGCAAAAATTTTGATTTAAAAAATTTGAGTGCTTCATAAATAACTGATTATTTTATGTATCCTACTATAGTATGAAAATGTCAGCAAAACTAAGCTTCAGAAACTGAGTATAGGGACCATCTATTTTTTTCTACTGTAAACATTACATGTAGTATTTGCTTTCATTAAAACAGTAACATTATTCTGAACTTCCATTTCTTCAAAATATAGAGACCAAACATGTAGTTTACAATAACTGACTTGCTATTAAAAATATATGTATTTGAGAACACATTTTAAAGTTGTATAAGTAACCTCCTGATTCTGGATTGTTCCCTTTGAGGAATATTTAAGGGAAATACTTGCTGCTTGCCAAGGAAGCCAATTTCATTTCTGGTAGTGTGGCCAAGAGTGTTATGTTCACTAATTTCTTATATATAAATATAATATTCAAAATCTTTTAAAAGCAGGAGGTGGAACAGAAACTTGTGATAACTTAATGTTTTCTATTTAAATTGATTTTTATTTCTGTGTTTCCAATATGTTTTCTTTGCTCTCTATCTACAGAGAAGGTTAATAAATGACAGAAATGTCTTTCTTGTCATTATAAATAGTTAAGCTAAACAGGGCATGTGACTAGTGAAGAACACAATTCATATAAATTGTGATTTTTTTTTTTGATTCTTTTAGGTCTGAGATGTATGTGAGAGGGGAAAGAATGAAACAAAGGACTATAGAACAGCATTTACATAGACCTACCACTATTTGCTCATGATAAGTTCAGTTCTACTCTAATTCCTCAAATATCAGGGACCCCTGAATTGAACCTCCAAGATCTTACAAGCTGTTACGGCACATGGTAAGAAAAAAAGAGCAAGAGACATTTATTAAGCAGCAGGGATCTGAGGTGGCCTGATCTTCAGGAGGAACGCAGGGCAGTGAGGCAGCCAGAACCTCAGCATTTATTGACTAAGGAAAACAATTAAGCAATAATTAGATGACAGAGTGGGCAGTGGCATACTAAATTAATGAGAACGTTTTCCTGTGGTAACTTTACTCATTAGTCTTAGTCCTAGTCCTAGTCCTAGTCTGAGTCTTAATCTCATTGGATTTAGCCTTACTGTTTTTTTTTTATGATTTCTTTTTTTAATGTTTAATCTTAAAGAGGATAAAACAAAAGAGAACAGAACAAAGCAAATCAGAACAGAGCAATGCAAGCGACATAACACTTCACAATAAGACAAGAGGTTACAACAGTAGCTACCATAATGTCTCTTTTCTTCAACATATTTGAGCATCCTTTAGCCTTAGTGTTAATAGATGAGAGAGCATCTCACCCCTAATGAGATAATGGGAAATCTCAAAAGGCTGATACCAACAATCCCAAGTCTTCATTCATCCCTTAGGGAAGTATGTGAAACCAGCCACTGTGAATTTGTGGTTCCCAACGTATCTTGCTTTTTGTTTTTGTATTGCTACAGTTAAAAC